ATGATTGTTTGATAACTATATTATTATCGTAGTTCTGAGAGCTGCTGGTAGACACCTCATCGTCATCAACATCTGTTAATACATACATACATATATATATATATATATATATATATATATATATATATATATATATATATATATATATATATATATATATATATACATACATACATATATATATACATATACTTTTTATTTAATGTAAATATATATATATATGTATATATATATATATATATATATATATATATATATATATATATATATATATATATATATATATATATTTATATATATATATATATATATATATATATATATAAATATATATTTAGAAATTATCAGCGGTGTGCTACAGGGGTCAGTAAAATGGATCATTTTTGTTTGTGCTATATATAAACGATTTTCCTGAAACCTACCTATGTTGTACGCTAATGACACTAAAATAATGACTGAAATAATTTGCTACAAATGACTGAAATAATTTGCTACAAACAGTGTCTTTGCAAGCAGATCTTGATATATCTTTCAAGTGGAATCAAGAATGGCTTGTAAAATTCAATATTTCTAAATGTAAAAGAGATCTAGGAGTAATTTTCGCAAACAATCTAAAATGGAAAAATCAAGTTATATCATGGCAAAGGAAATTAAATGCTGGGTATGATTAGAAAATGTTTTGTTCATTTAGATATTAGACTACTGAGATCACTTTACTTATCTTTTGTTAGGCCACTATTAGAGTTTGCTGTACCGGTTTGGTCACCGAATCAAAAGGGTGAAATTGACTTATTGGAAAGAGTTCAACATCGTGTAACTTGACTAATACTATCATTCAAGAAAATTTACTATGAGAATCGTCTAAAGGCTCTTGACTTAACTAAGTTGACAAATAGAAGAAAAAGAGGAAACATGATTCAACTTTTTAAGATCTTTAACGGTTTCAACAAATTAGAAACAAAAGTAAAGTTTAATTTTCAACAAAATCAAACAAGAGGTCACCGGTTTAAAAATATAAAATAATTCACTAAGCAAGCTCATCGCAGAAACTTTTTCTTTAACAGATCAGCCAATTTGTGGAATAGCTTGCCGAACAATTTGGTTAATTCAGAAACAGTTAACAGTTTTAAAGCCGGTCTTGATTGCTGGATGAGCAGCGATCAGATAAATCAGATGTTATAGTAAAATATAATTGATGTAACTGGTTCATACCAGTTACATCAATTAATAATAATAATAATAATAACAACAACTACAATAATAACAACAACAATAATAACAATAATAACAATAATATATATATATATATATATATATATATATATATATATATATATATATATATATATATATATATATATATATATATATGTATATATATATATAATATATATATATATACATATATATATATATATATATATATATATATATATATTTATATATATATATATATATATATATATATATATATATATATATATATATATATATATGTACATATATATATATATATATATATATATATATATATATATATATATATATATATATGTATATATATATATATATATTATATATATGTATATATATATATCTATATATCTATATATCTATATATCTATATATACATATATATATATATATATATATATATATATATATATATATATATATATATATATATATATATATATATATATATATATATATATATATATATATATAAAATATATATATATATATATATATATATATATATATATATATATATATATATATACATATATATATATATATATACATATATATATATATATATATATATATATATATATATACATATATATATATATATATATATATATATATATATATATATATATATATATATATATATATATATATATATATATATATATATATATATAAAGCCTTATATAAAGCCTTATATATATAAAGCCTTATATATGTTCCTTATTGTTGCTTAATTAATAGTTAGACATGAATGTGAATGAATGAAGATCTTGAATAAACACATTCTTAAGATTCTTAAAAATGTTGTATTTAAGACCTTGAATAAACACACATTCTTGAATGTGTCTAATTATTAATAAACAAATGCATAAATAAACATTCTTAATAAGAATGTTTGTTTATGTATGTAAGTGCAAATTAATTTTAAATATACCTTTGTTTTTTTTTAAAGGTTGAGTTTCAGCATTGTTAGAACCGTACCAATTTTTTGTAACTTTTCTTTTGTATTCTCCAACAACATTAATAGTAACTTTTCTTCGAGCTCGAAAGCTTCGTGAACTTCTAGACGCCATTTAAATAAATTAAAACCTTCGCTACGAAATTCCAACGCTACGAAATTCCAGCCTTATTATTATATTAGGTTTATACGTAAAAAACATAACTCGATGACATCGAAAAATAATATCACATGTGTGGCGGTGTGGCAAATACACGGCTGATGAGATCGGAAAACACAGAGATATTTTATTTCGATGAGATCGACAAATTTTACTTAGGATCGGGTGAACTTGCTCATTGTCTTCAATAACTTGATTAACATTTACAATGCTTGAACTTTGTAAAATATTAAGTTTTTTGTTTATTTTCATAACCATATTATTTGATCCAAGTGGTCTTCCTCTTTTCTTTGCTCGAATATTATCTTGACTTTTTTTTTTATTGTCTCTTTGCTTATAGTATGCTTCTACCTCAGTGGCTGATACACTTTTCCCTGCTGTTATTGGTAACTTAAATTTTTTGCTTACTTCATAATTAAGATGAATATCATCAACATAATTCCTAAACGATTCTCCAATATTGAGTTGAATATCTATATTTGTAAAACTGGGTAATTTGGAGAGAACATGTTCTGGTAAAAATGGATATATGCCAGTAGCCTTAAATCCTGCTTGGAGATTATGTTCTAGATTTTCTTTACCAACATTAAAAGTAGATTTAATGAGCTGCGTAAATAAATTTTTTGGCAGATTATTAACCTTTTTTCCTCTGGATGTTTTACGCCATTGATTAAGAACTGACCTCCAATTAGCTTTTAAACTCGAGAAATATCCAACATCTAAAGGTTGTAAAAGGTGTGTGGAATTGGGTACCAAACATATAAATGTTATATTATACTTTTCACATATATTTAAGGCTTTTAAAGATATATGAGCACTTAAATTATCGCAAATCAGAATTTTTTTACTTTCCTTATTTATAATATTTGGAACAAAGTGATTTAACAGCCACTCTTCAAATATTTGAATTTCCATCCAGCCACTGCAAGAAGTTGCCATTCTTGATCCTTCTGGTGCATTGAAAAGCCAGTCAGACCAACTGTGTTTTCCTTTAAAAATGAAAAATGGTGGAATTAGTTTTCCTGAGGCATTTTCACAAAAAACAACAGTGTAACAAGTTTTTGTTGTGTTTCTTATAAGTTCTGGATGGCGAGAGGATCGACGAAAAATAAGTTTTTTTTTTTCCAGGGTCATCATGAAACCCTGTTTCATCCATATTGTAAATGTTATCTGGCGTTACTCCATTTAATTCCTTCTCTAGATTTTGAAAAAATAATTTTATTTGACAATAATTAATCTGTGCACGTTTCCTTGAAATACAATGAGATACTTTTTCTTTTAATGATGGATGCCTGTCAAGATAAAGTTTACACCACTCCCAACCTGGTTGGTTATCTTTAAACTGTTGTATATTTTTTCCACTATCATCCAAATAGATTTTGACAATACTTTTAAAATCATTAATTCCAATTGGTATACCTTTGTCACTTAAATAAAGTAAGTGATTTTCAAAACAAAGTTCTTCATCAATGCTAAGGGCAATAGGGCGCCCTACTGATTTACAGTGTTTATTTTTTAGCTTATAAAATAATGTTGCTTTAGGTACTTTATAAATTTTAGAAGCTTCACCAATCGACATTTTTTCTAATTTAATTTTGGCTAAAGCCTCTTGAAGTGTAGAATTGGTGTAATTAGATTTAGTGCCATATTTTCTAGTGCCAGAATGACTTGTCGAACATTTTCTTGGCATTTTATGAATGCTAAAAATATAAAGATGATTTATGTTATTAATGAAAATTATTTAATTAATCGCATATTTGCTATTAATAAAATATATTATTAAATCTATCAAGATAGCCATAAATATCAAAAATTAATATATTAGTAATATATGTTATAATTTTTAATATTTATAATATCATATATCATTATATAATAAAAATACTATAATAAAAAGATGCCTATTATTTATTATGTATTATTGCAATGTTACTCAGACAACAAAAAAAGCATTTTTGGAAAATATTGATTGTCTAAAGCTACCCTGAATTTGGTTATATTTTAGCTAAGTGGAAATAAATATCCTTTTTGTAGCAAAAAACATGTTAAATCCTATTATTTTGAGTTTGTATTAAAGTTCGAAAAATAATTCAATAAAATACTTAAAAATCTATTCAGATAATTACAATATAATACCAAATATTCTAAATTGAAAACACACGATGTTATCACCACATTAGACTGTGTAACTGGAAATGGAGGAAAACATTATTTTTGAGAAATAAAATTTAATTTTCTTTGGTCAAACTTTTGTAAAAAAAGATAATTCATCATATTATTCTTTGTTAAAGCAACAGGCAAAGAAAATACCAAAGAAAAAAAAATTTAAAAACATTTACACGTTTAGTTCAATGTTACCCGCAAATTCAAAGTTACCCAGAATGACTGTATTGTAAAAAAAGCGAAGTTTAATTAAAATTTAAAATATATACATATTTTTTTAGCTTTTTTCGGCGTTACTATAATTGGCATTAATATTTTGACGTATTATTTGGTATGATCATTTGACGTATTTTGATATTTATCAACGTAGAATTGGCGTTTTGAACCCACTGATCTCAAAATATAATATATTTTGAGAATATATTTATATTTTGAGATCAGTGTTTGGAACCACGTTTACTTTTGGCAACGCTATTTATGTCCTTTTACGTCCGGCCTTTAACTACATTTAAAATAATATGGCGCGTTTCTCATATAAATATTACGTTAAATAAAAACAACGTTAAATCAAATATTTTGTTTTGTTTTTCAAGAAGTGTTATATGTTGTGTATCTGTAATATTAGGTACATTTTATATTTAAGTTTATTTCCTTTTAATTTAATAAAAATTAACTAAAACAAAAAATATTTAATAAAATTAAATATTTTTTGTCTTCAAATAATTTTTTTTCGGAATGTAATTAATTGGCTTAATTCTTTAAGTTCGCTATGACTTAACAAGTATGGATGCGTTTATACTAAAATATCTTCAATTATGCAATGAAAACAAAATGGAACCAAATGAGGGGATATTAAATGCACTACGATTAAGTAAAAATTCCACTGATATTGCAGATGGTAACCAAGTACTGCATTTATCAGGTAGCAATTTATCACCGAGCGATTGTAGTATACTCGCTAAATGTATTGCATGTGACCAGTATTTTACAGCGTATTACTTTGGAGATTGTCTCTTATCAGAAGAAGCTTCAAAAATTCTAATGGACTCTTTTTTATTTAATAAAGTAATCAAAATTTTGGACATTAAAGGTAACAATATTCGCAGTGTTAGTGCAAGTCTTATAGGAAAATTGCTTAAAAGGTCATTAACACTAGAAGAGTTATCTCTAGAATGGAATGGACTTGGAATGCTTCATACAGGTATTAATGAGATAGCAGAAGGACTATCAATTAATACATCGTTAAGAATACTAAACTTAAGTAATAATCAGATTTCTCATGAAGGCTGTCATGAGTTAGCTTCTGCACTTAAAAGAAATAAAACATTATCAGCTCTTGATTTAAGATGGAATAATGTTGGTGTTTTGGGTGGAAGATCACTTTTATCTGCGCTTGCTCATAACAAGTATATTATAGATCTTCAGCTTGCAGGTTATTATATTTTTATTATTCTGCAGTTAAGCAGCAGAAAATAATTCATTGCTTAGCTTTTTATGTTCTTTTCTGTTGAAACTTTTTGAATTTGATATAAAATGTTTAATAGTCATTTAAGTTCTATTTTTATTTACTTTAAGAAATAATGTAGTGAAAATTTTGATAATTTACTAGTTAATTTTTTTTAGAGTTTATTTTAGCTAAAAAACTAAATAAATCCACGCTACTTAACTGCAGAATAATCATATTTTTAAATCTAAAAAATTAGAAATGTTTTAGGAAATAAATAGTATAAGTATAATTTTTTAAAAAAAGGAAATTTTTTTTAAGATACAACAATATCCTTTAATTTAAAAATATTTTATAAATATGAAGACTTTAAAATAGTTTTTTAACCTGGTTTCAAATTAAACTTAATTAAAATGTGATATTTTAAAATATGCAACTGACATAATTTAACTTTTAATGATGTAATCATGGATATTGAATAAAGTTACATGAATATACGTTACACTTTTCTGTTACACATATGCATATCTTTGATATATATATATATATATATATATATATATATATATATATATATATATATATATATATATATATATATATATATATATATATATATATATATATATATATGTATATATATATATATATATATATATATATATGGTTCTTTTAATAGTGCTTTTTTTTCTTCTCGACAATATCCAAAAACTTATTATAAATCTAGTTGGCTGCTTTATCTGCAAAGCTTGAGCCACTTTCTTATTTTTGAAAGGTTGCATCCCTTTTTCTTTTCAAATACTATCATGGTCACTGCTCAAAAGAGTTATTGCTTTGGAGCTCTCTACTATTTTTATGTTTTCCTGACTCGTACAATCTATAATTACTTTAACCTTTACTTTTTTTTTTTGTTTTCTAGTTACTCCTATTTTTATAGTGCAACCTCGTCAAGAGTGAATTAGATTAGAAAAAAATATTAGACACCAAAGTCACTTATAACTTCCTCTTATGATGTGATTTAGAAGCTTTTGGTTTTTGCACAAGTTATTTGTTTATTCATTAAAAAAAATTGCTTATTAAATACGAAATTTGCTTTTATACTTGTTACAAGCATATGTTTGTAACAATATGTTGTATATGTTAATGTTACAAGAATATATATACATAACAAGCGTCAAAAAAATTTGACAAAGAACTATAAAGGTTTTTACTGCCTATAAAAAACGTTTTATATTTTCTTATAGTAATAGAATGCAGGCATTTTTAGAATTATTACAACAATTAAAAATTCCACCATAAAAGTGAATAATATATTAAAGTAAAATATATAACTCATTACATAAATTAAAAATTATTATGCAATAATTTAGATTGTTATAATTTTATTTTTTTATCAGATAAGCTATTTAATATTTTATGAATATAATTTAGACCTTTTAATTTTATTTTAAATTTGAATTTTATATTTATCAAATAAAATAGTTTATCAAACAGTTCAATTAAAAGCATTTGCATTGGTGCTCTTTTTTATTTTTTTTGAAACAACTTTTAAAAGCATTGCAGCTTATGCAATCATTTTTTTTCTTTCTATAAAAATGTTTAATTTAGTTACAATCATAATTAAGCTTTTAAGAGAAGAATTATACTTTTGTGAGAGCCGCAAATTGCTCATGTAAACCATCTTGAGAGAGTGTGAGTTTCGCTTACAAAACACTTGCTTTGTTACTGAAAAGTACCGAAATCTCCACTACATTTCTGAGTATTCCAAGTACCATAATCATCTTGTTTTTTTTTTTGTTTTTTTTTACATAGCAGCCTTATTTGTCAAGGTTTTTTCATTTTTCAAGATAAATGGTTAAGAGAAGAGTTAAGCAGCCATTTTAATAGAAAAAAACCAAACTTTTATTACTCTAATAAATGCTTATGCTATCTTAATACAGGATAATTAACCTTTTAACCAGTTATCTTTTGTTTATATATTTTAGGTAATAACATTCCAACAGACTCCTTAAAAGCTATTGCTACTGCAGTTCAGAGAAATATTGATTACCATTCAATTTTTTATCAACATCAGTCACTAACAAAGTCTTTACACAATGAGATAAAACAGCTAGAACATGAAAAAGCAAAACAGGTCAGAAGTTTGTAATTTATAATTACACATTTTATACTAGAGAAATATAATATAAAAGCAACATAAATTTTATACTACGTAAAAATATATTAAGAGTAAGAGTTTATATTGGGTATATACAATTATTACATCTCCAATATATTGCTTCTGTTGTATTTTTCAAAACTGTAATTTAGAAAAATAAAGTTTTACATTATTTTCATATTATTTTAAAAAGTAGATTATGTTATTGTTTATTAGAAATAATTATTAAATAATTTTATTGAGAATTATTAAAATGATAGTTTTATATAATTTTATTTTGTATTATACTTATTAACTTTTTATTATTTTTAAACTTTTATGTTTATTGATCAATAATAAGAAAGTTTAAATTTTTTTTTCAAATATATATAATTTATCAAGGTCAGTACTACACATAATGTTATATTGCACAGTATTCTAATAAATTTATTAAGGTTCAATACTATACGCAATGTTATATTGCACAGTATTGAGAAAATTGTCAAATTTCATACCTGTAGAATGGCTTTTTTTTTTGTAATAATAATCTTTTTTAAAAATAGTTGATCTTAGTTTTAAGACCACCCCTATCTCTAACATTCATTCCATAGATGGATTTATAAAAGGAACTTTTTTAAGTTATTTATAAATCTTGTAATTTATTTTTAGAGGTAGTCGATTGAGGTTAAATAATATTATAAAATTCTTTTTATAAAAATGATATTACAAAAAATTGGAACATAATTTTTTAAAAAATGTATTTTTGTTTCAAAAGATAGTATTTAATCTAAATTATAAATAAAATATATTTTAATAGTCTCATTGTTCTGTATATAATTACTTACAAAATATATTATATGCAATGTATGGTCAATGAAAAAGTTTAAAAGTTGTATTTTTTCTCTTTTGTGTACTAATGTTGGAATTTACTGATCAAATAGCTTACTATTGTGTCTGGGTATGTCGCTGAAGGTGCAACCCTCCTATTTATTACAAAAAACCTGTCCCCATTCCAATAACTTCTATTGGTTTGCAAATAGTTCTTAAAATTTCTTCAAAATATAAATTATTGTTGTTTACCTTTAATCTGAATTTAATCAGAGGACCCATAATGTAATTTCTATTTAATTAAATGTGATAAATTAATTTTTAGAAAAATTTTAAGGAATATTATTGGGGCCTAACCTTGAATGAGGAAATGGCCAAAAATTAATAAAGTCCCAATTGGTTTGAAATTTTGCACACTTGTCATATTATTAAAAAATTTTTTTTAGTGGTTTCTACAAAATTTTAAACTTTAATTTTTTTCTTCTATGCATCAAGACTGATAAGAATTTTTTTTTTTTACTAATAAGTTCACATTTTAGGGGGTTTTTTTTGTTCATTTTTTGTTCATTAACTATTATTTTTACAGTTCAAAATATTTCTAACAACAACAACAAAAAATGAATAAAAAATACCATGTATAAAAAAATAGCAAGCAAAAAAATATATTAAATTTTAGTTCTAAAAAATTTTTTGTTCATTGTTTATTGTATTTCTATTTTATTACAGCATAAGCACTTTCTCATTTTTTGTTGAAGCATAAAATTTTTTATCCATTTTGAATCTACATTTGTTTCATACATCTCAGTGTTTTCAAAAACATCAATATCATCATCAGGAACGATTAAATTTGATATGGTTTGTGAACCATGCAAAAGTGTGTTTAATGTAAGACTCAAGAAGTTTTTATTTAATTGTACATAAACAAAAGGCCGTAGTGAAGTAATAAACATTAAATTTGGTTGGGTCATTTGGAAAATAATAAGAAATGTTTAGCGATGATACTAGATTACTAAGTCCTAGACCTAAGATAATAGATTTTTAAAAAATTTCTGGTATTACTAGTGCCATCACTTGTTGTTGACATGTCTATATAGATATTAAGTTTCTGAATTGAATTTGACTTTCCTTCTTGCTTTTATATTTGCTTCATTTTCTTGACTACACACTTGCCATTAATTTTTATGCAAAAATTTAACCTTGAATCTTTATCAATCCAAATCTTAAAATCTTTATCAATCCAAATCTTAAAATCTTTACCAATCTTAAAATGTTTAACTTTAATCACGAGACCCATAAGGTATTCAATGGCGATTGCTGTATAGGCATCAAACTTTAAGTACCATAGAAAAAGTTGTTTTTTCTTCGTTAATATATATATATATATATATATATATATATATATATATATATATATATATATATATATATATATATATATAGGCCATGGCCTAGGGCCCCCAACATTTAGGGGCCCCAAAATTTAATAAACATAAAAAGTTGAAAACTAAAAATAATGTGTAGAAAAATCAAAAATGTTGTAAAATTTATTTTTCATTAAATTCTCAATATTCACACTGTTTTGTTTAAATAATAAAACTTTAAATAAAAAAATGAAATTTTTTTTTTTTCCCAAAATTAAATTATTTTAGGGGCCTCAAAAATGTTTTGGCCTTGGGCCCCCAAAAGGCTAAATCCAGCCCTGATATATATATTTATATATATATATATATATATATATATATATATATATATATATTATATATATATATATATATATATATATATATATATATATATATATATATATATATATATATATATATATATATATATATATATGTATTTAAAAAGTTATATAATATGCATTTAAATAATTATATACATAAATTTGAAAAATATTTATTTAATTATGTAATTTAATTCCAAAAAACTTACAATTGCGTTGTTACATTATCTTATTATTATATGTTTGTATTTTGACAACTTTAATTGAGTGGGTCAGAAGCCAAGGGGTACAAGTGACATTTTCATAGTTTTGAGATGCAGCTGTTTAAAGTTAAAGTATTTTGTTAAATATACTCAGCTGTTGTTATGTTTTTCCAGTAGAAAGCAGCACAGGGCAGAGATTCACTTGTATCCCTTGGCCACCAACAATTTTGTTTGCTTCTTCTATCAAATTCTATACTTAATTTTGGTAAAATTGTCACTTGTACCCCTTGGCTTCTGACCCACTCAATTCAAATTTGTGCTTATTAAAGTAGTTATGATAATTATTTCATTACAAATCATTTATCTTTCTGTTTAATTTCATAAAAAGGTATTAGCATTATCTGAACAACTGAAACAGGAAAAAGACTTTCATGAGAGTTTTGCAGAAACAACAAAAGGACATTTTGACCAAATGAAGCATGCACTTGAATGTTTAAAAGATGAGAATGACAAGCTAAAAGAAGATAAATCTTTGTTTGAAAAGCAATTTGAAAAATCAGAAAAGCTTGTAAATGAATTAAAAGCTCAAATCATTCAGCATGAAAAAGACTTTGCTAATTTAAGTTCACGATATAATCTTGAAACAGGTCTTCTCAAAGATCAAATCGAACAGCAGAATAAAAACTCAAAGTCCATCCAGAGTGATCAAGATTTGCAAATAATTTCACTTAAATCTCAAATAAAAGAATTAGAAATCAAAATTACCGAATTGTATCAAGAAAAAAAAGTAATTGAAAAAAGTTTAATAAATATGAAATCAAAGTGTGACGAGGAGTTAGTTGAAGTTTGTGAGAAATACAATAAAAAAATTGAGGATCAAATTTTTCGACATTCTGAGACAGAAAGAGCTTTTGACGAGAAGCTTAAAAGAGTTTCAGAAGAAAAAAGACGACTCGAAGAAGAAATTGCTCTTTTAAAGTCTCATATGCTTTCAGATAAATTGAAACATGAAGAAGATTTGTTACAACAAAAAACAAAATGGAACCAGGAAGAAGTGTTGAAACAAAAACAATACGAAGACCGCATAAATTGTTTAATAACTTCAAAAGATGAGTTTCAAAACAGAATAAGCACATTAAGTGCCACCTCTACACATTTAGAAAATCAGCTAAAGTGTTGTCATAAGGAGCTTGAGTCACTAAAATCACAGAATGAGCAGCAACAAGAAATATTAAACTTGAAGGATGTGCAATACAGAGGTGAAGTGAACCGTTTAAATGTGTTGATTGATAGTGAAAAAAGACTAAATGCTGAGAACAAAGAAAAAATAAACCATTTAGAAAATAAGCTGCAAGGACTTCAGTCTGATATGCAATATTTGCAATCATCTAAAGATAAAGAGATTCAACAGCTGAAAGAATTTATTAAGAAAAAAGATGACGATTTAAGACGTGCACGAGATGATGAACAGCGTAGAATTAGTTTACTTGAATCAGCCATGCAATCTTATATTCATAGCTCAAAATCTGCATACCAGTCGTATTCTTAATGAAATTGATTTTTAGTTTAAAACAGTATTTTACTATTTTGTTTATAAATGATTCTGTAAATATTTATCACTTTAAATAATGAAAAATTTAATTTGCTAAAAAAGTAATTTTAAAAGTATTTTTTATATTATTTTTATGTTTGTTAATATTGTTTATTATAATAGTATAATAAATAGTTTATACTGATTTAATATAATAGTTTCTTACTATTGTATGTCTTTGTGTTTTTGTTTTTTATAAATTTCATATATTCCTAATAAGAAAGGTACATTTGAGCTCAGCATCAAGTATTTTTGGTAAAAAGCTGAAACAATTTTGATCTGCCTTAAGGGTAGAGTATAGGATTTCCTAAATTAAATGAAAAAAACAATATCCATGGTTCTATATTACATCTTATAAATAAAATTTATTTATGTTGTAATATAGAACCAACCTAAATATTTTTAAATAAATTTAAAAAAGGGTTCAAAACCAACCTGGAAAACTTTGGCAGTAGAGACTTAATTCTTCTTGAAAGCTCAGGAAAAAACTTGGATATTAAATTAAGATTTTTTTTTTTTTTCTGCTCTTGTATAAAAACTTTGTGAAAAGATAATTTTTGTATTCTATTTACACTCCATCTTTGTTATGCCAAAAGAATTTTACAGAGAAAAAAGGTTATTATGTTTTAATCAAACTCAAGAAAAAAAAAAAATTTTTTCTAAATAAAACTACACAAAATAAGTCTAGTTGCATTGCGGTTTCAAAAATAATGATGGTTTGTAATTAAAAACATTCTATTAATAGTATTTTCTATTAATAGTTATAAATAAATTTTCTTAGTTTACCAAACAGAGGATTCTATCTAATAATGGTGTTGACAACTGATAAACTGAGGTTTGTTGATGCATTTCTCTGTGAACATTTGTTGTGAACATTACAACAATACCATTCTTTTTTCCAGTGTTAACGCTGGTGGTATCTGCAACAATCATCTGTATTGAATTCCATAGGTGAAATTCATCAAGGACTTTAGAAATTCCTTAAACAATAGTTAAAGCCCTGCCATCTACCAAGCCAAGGACATCTAATTTGATTTCTCTTCTTTCATTTTTAAGGACGACCACTTGATAATCCATTGTCGCTGTGCTAGCCATCAAATTGTAAGGACCAACTCTCCATATGCAACTTTTCAATCATTTCTTCCTTCAGTTTGTTTGCCTCTTTGTATTGTTAACTTGTAAATAGCTGATTGACATGGAGTTGGGATGTCTTCATGAGCCAATTGCTTGCATATGTTAGCAACTTTGTTTGTTGATACTTTTGTGGAGGTCACCAAGCTGACTGCAATTTTGCTTTTTATGATATTTTCTGCTTGGTGTAGGAGTTGTCTCATCTTCTTCATTGTTTTCATATTCTTGTCGTCAGCCTCAGAGTCAGAATCACTAAAACCAGAATAGTAAGATGATGAGTTGGATGACTCATTAGAAAGTTTTTGTCTTTTAGAGGGATGGATCATTTTTTTACTGGCTGCTTGGCCTGTAGAGTATCCCACTGTTCCTTTGCTTTCTACTTGAAGATGGTACAATTGCTTGTCCTGGAAAGATAACCCATAAAGATAATGTTCCATTCACTTTAGTAATATCAAAAATTTCATCAAGGCGTTCATAGCTTCCCTGCTTGACACATTCAGTATTTTATCAAGCTTTTTTAGTATTTTTCAGTATTTTATCAAGTATTCAGCTTTTTTTTCAGTATTTTTCAGTATTTTTCAGTATTTTTCAGTATTTTATCAAGTATTCAGTATTTTTTCAGTAGGTTTTTCAGTATTTTTCAGTATTTTATCAAGCTTTGTTCGTATAGCTTGATTAGATACATGAGGAAAATTCAGTTTATTCTTCCACAATTTGGTGATTTCTTTAGAAATCTCTGCTATTCGCTCCTTTCTTCCTTTGATTTTTGATCCACAGAAATAGTAGCGTCCAATAATTTGCTCTTGGAGTGACATTCTGGACTTTACTTCCAGTAAATATTCTTCCAAAGGGACCATTCTTCTTTTATGAGAATCTTCAAGTTTTACCAGATTGTTGGTCCAGACATCCTTGTTCTTCTGAATGCTACTATCGCTAGGCTTGTATGACACCATGCGTTGCTTCTGTAATAACTATAAAATTAGATGAGCAGCTATATATAGTCTAAAATGTTCTAGAATATTCCAGAATGTTCTAAATTGTTCCAGAATATTTTCAATTGTTCTAGAATGTTTTAAAGTCTTCCAAAATGTTCTGTTATTTTCCATAATGTTCTAAAGTTCTAAACACTTCTAATCTATACAAGTTTAAATACAACCTAGAGAAATTGAACATGTTTTTAATGTTTTCTAATAAAAGTTTATTGATTTATGACACAGGAAATTAATTTTTTTTAAAAAAGTTAATTTTATCTAAATTAAGTAATTATGTAAATTTTGATTTCCAAAATAGTTCCTTTACACTTTGTATTGCCCATGTAAATATATATATATATATATATATATATATATATATATATATATATATATATATATATATATATATATATATATATATATATATA